AGAGGCCACAGGCAGGCTGGGGCTTCCTCCCGCTGCTTCTACCCAGGACCCTGCGGCCTCTGCCATCAACCCAGCGCCGAGCAGCTGCCAAAGGGCCCCGGGCACATGTGTGATGGGCGTAGGTGTCTGCCTCGGCACAGATGCAGACGGCGGCTCGTGCTTGGGAGTGGGCGTGTGCATCCAAAACACCTCGCTCTCTTTGCATTATTAAGAATCTCTGCTTAGAAAGCCAAACGACGGGAGGGCAAACGGCATCCAGCTAAGGCCTCGCTTGTACCTTCGGTTTCAGTTCGTAATAAATATTTATGTCCAAGTTACAACAAGTCCTGGAAAAGCGGCTTTTAATAGAAACACAGATACTGAGCATTGTGTTAATTACAGGCCTCCGCTGGCCTTTCCAATACGTGCTTTCCGTGCGTTTTTAAACACTTCGCAGTGATGCTGTTCTGCCTTCTTTACAAACCGAGCCTAGCAAGCAGCTGTTTCCTATATGCAGCCGAGTCCCGCAACAGATGACTGTTTCTTTTAGTGACTTTGTCAAGCTTCTTTGGAGATTAATCTGACTGCAGGTGTCAGGTAAGAACGGGACTTGTCCAAGAGGACCAAGAACTCTGCAGGAGGGGAGGGAGGGAGGATTGGGAGCGAGAGGGCACCCTGGGGATGGCCGCACCCATCCTCGTGCCTGGCTGTGGAGCACAGGGCATTTCCACCTGGACTCCATGCCTGGGTCCACAGAGAAGGCGGCTCTGCAGGCCCAATGGCAGAGCGTTTTAATTGCTATGTCCCCAGTGACATCAAATCTCACAAACAACCTCCATAAATCACACCCTGACAGCTACCGGGCTTGTCCAACGCTAAACACAAGTGGAATCTTCTTTTAAGTTGAGTCTTAAGTTATAGGCAGCAGCATCACCCTTCAGCAAACATCTGTAGTTCATCTTATCGTTTGAAGAAATATATGAGTTTCACTGTCTTTTTTTTTTCTTTAAGGCTTTTGTAGCTTCTGTCCTTGATTTGTTTGAAGGCCATCTGCTACATATAAAATTGGGGGTGGGGGCACACTGTGGAAAAGGAATATTTGGGAGATGTACAGGCTGGGAGAAAAATGCAAAAGCCGAGCGTGCTTTGGGCAGCTTCAGTGGGCAGATCGCTTTCCTTTCTGGACCACTGGCCCCCGAGACGGTGTTGGACATGGGACATCGCCATTGGGCTCTGGCTGAAACCTGTTCTGGGTCTGTCTCGTGGCCAATTCCTCGACCATGGAGGGCCAGCGTTGGTGATTCTGAGATCTTTCAAAATTTGCTGTTGACAAAGACGTGTTGCTGTTGACCTCCAGAGCTCCACTAAAGCTGCCCGCCCCGTGGACCGCAGGATGAAATGGGGTGCCCAGGCACCCGGGGTGCCGCTTATCACAGGAATGGCAGTGAAGGCCCATCTGGGCAGTGTATGTCATGGCATGAAGTTACCACAGGGTGGTAGAAGTTGTGCGGCTGCCTGTCCTCACTCGGGCATTCTTTCCTGAGAAGCAGAGGGGAAAAGAACCAAGCACTCCAATGCACAGATGCACAGAATGGCAGCCGGGGGCTTCCTGCCCCTCCCACCCAAACAGCGGTGTCTCAGCCAACACTGGCTCTAGGGAGGTACCAGATATTTCAACGTTTGACCCTGAAATCATTGCCACCCCTCAGCATGCCTGGCTCGGTTTAATAGGGGCCAAGCAACCCGCCTCACTAAGTTGCAGAGAGCATCACTTCATCTGCCGGGAAGTTAATTTCGAGGATGTACTTGGTCACCAGGGTGGTGGCTGGCTTGCCACTACAACAGAGAGAAAACAGTGACAGTGGTGGAGATTCCATCATAACACCAGCTTTCCCTTCACTCTGGAAGATTGTCTTTATTACGTTGGCCAAAGAAGTTCTTATAAATCCCAAAGCTTCCAACATCCAGTTTCATTTCCTCCTCTGTCCCGCAAGGTCCAAATGTTTTCATAAAACTGATCAAGGCATTTATTATTTTTTTTATTATTATTATCAGCAGTATTTATTTTATTGCTATAATTTATAGAAAAGTTGTGTAAAGTTCCAGCTCAGTCCTTGTGAGGTTCTCCTGTTTTTATTTCTCCTGTAGCACTTTGGCATGCAGCCACAAAAAAAAAAAAAAAAATTCAAGCGATGCATTGAGACACAGGTTTTGAAGGCACACTTGAGCCTTAGCCCCTGAAGAGATAAAGTGTCATCAGTTTTGTCTGGGGGTTTAATGGAAGAAGTCCCTTCTGGGGCCGAGTGGTCAGCGTCCGGGGCGGGGGGGGAGGTCTGACTTTGCCACATGGCTTTACCTGCCGTAAGAAGGCAGTATGGGGCCACACCGGCCCCCTTCATGGGCAAGGTGCCGTGACCGCCCCCCCCCACCTCCCTGCCTGCCCAAAGACCAACAAGGCCAGTGGAAAACCCAAAGCAAGCAAGCATGGGGATTCTTTGAGTAACAGCACAAACTGACCCTATTCTGTCAAGCCTATGGATTTATGGGATGGAGAAAAATGTTACCCCAAAGCGGGGAACAAAAAAGACTTTTCTGTCAATCACTTCCTACAAGACAAGGAAACAAACTGGCTTGCAGTTGGTTAGCCACTTCGTAAAGAATTGCAGAGAAAGGGGGAGCCAGGGTGGCTCAGTCGGTTAAGCATTCGACTTTTGGTTTCGGCTCGGGTCATGATCTCAGAGTCGTGGGATCAAGCCCCCACGTCGGGCTATGACTCTCAGTGGAGAGAGGTTCTCTCTCCTCCTTCTTGCCTGTCTCCCCCACCTCGCGCACACTCTCTCTTCCTCAAATAAGTAAATCTTTAAAACAAAAACAATTGCAGCCGAATTGTTTTTTTAAGGGTTGATTCCAGCAGTAGGAGTGGAGGGGGGCCAGGGGCTCCCGTGAGCTGTGCTCCCCGCCTGAGCCCTGCTTCCTCAGTCGCTGCTGCGGAACACTTGAGCTGGTCTGCAGTTGCAGGCATGATTTGTTGGCGCACTTTTATGTGGAAGTGCCTGCATCTGCTGGGGTCTGCAGGGCTACCTCCTTGACAGTTCCAGATGTTCCGAAGATGAAATACCTCCTGCTCGAGGAACTGTGCCATGAGGAGCCCCGAAAGGTGCTCCGAATACAGTTTAAAAAGGCATCTGTCTTAAAATAATTTCAACATCTCACTTGTCTATTTATAAGCCCTGTCAGATGGGTGTTTAGACCCTCTCAGACGCGTTCAAGAGGCTCATTTTTACATCGAGGTATTTTAACCAATGGTGTTTCAAACCTTTGCCCTTGTTTCTTTCTCCGCCGGGGTCCACCCATTCAACCTTTGCCTTACAACACCACTGGGATGGATCTTTTGGCATCATGCTGGAGGCAGAAGGACCTCCATGGGGCCGGTCACCAGCGACCAGGCTTGGCGTCAGGAGGAGGGGGGAACGAGCCATGTATCCCTGGCCTGGATCAACTCAAGATTCCTTGGTAAGAAGGCAACAAAAGGCCCCTGGGCCAAGCCCGCTCCTCCCTCAGACCTCATAACTCACCACACCACCGACCTCTTAAAATAGGAATGAGCCTTGACCCTGACCAGGACTTCGGAGCAGTGCTCGCGCCTGCGTTTCTGCAGGTGAAAACCTACTCCCGAGACCACCCTTTAGAAAACCATTCTCCCTAGTTCTGGTGCAGAGTCCTGTTATTCTTGGGTCATTTAACTTCACTCTCAGGGAAGAGTCGAGAATGGTGCTAAGTTGTAAATCACTCCCCTCTGGAATGGATTTGTACCAGAACTGATCGGCCCAAGCATTCCTGCCTTGCTGGACCATGGTAAAGAGATTATGGTATGTAAAATTCGGCTAAACATAGCTTGTTTCGATTTCCTACTTTCCTGGTTGTCTGTCTCGCTAGGAAAGGTTAAGACCTAGGAGGGAAACGGCATCACTCTCACACTAGGCCAACACGTCCCTTTCAGATGGGGTCCCTGTGTGGGGATCGTGCAAGGCTCGCGCCCAGGAAACTCAGTCCCATCAAATAGACCTTCATACACCTGGTCTTCAGGTGGTTTTAACTGGTCCTTCCCACAAAGCTGCAAAAATTGAAAGCAGCAAACACAGGAGGCACACAGCCTGTGGTGGTCTAAGTTTGTCAATCTCTATTCATATATCCACCATTTCACCCGGTTGAAATTAGCCTTTGCTTTTCCCTGACATCATTAGCTGAGTCTTAAAACGGCAGTGACACCCTCTTCACTGATCTGGTTGCCCTACTGGGGACTCTTCCTGAAATCCTTCAACCCACATGCATAGTGGTTTCTCAAGCTGTTGATCTCTTGAGATTGCATCTTGTGATCCAAATATCCGATTGGAAAAAAAAAAAAATCTCTCATTTCTTCCTGCCCATTTGATTACCTATGTCCACCTGGAAGGGGTGTGTCCTAGAGAGGAGAACGGTAATGCACACCATCAGTGTCTCTGTCTTCAAATCACCGGGATCCCTTTTGCTGTCTGCAATGTACATTTCCAGCATGTGAGAGATCCCGAGTTGCTTCCCTGAGTGGGCATTGTGGATGGTGCCCGAGTTGCAGAATCCGGTGAGCAGGGGAGAAGACGAGGGGCCCACGACAGAGGGGCCCACGCTCCGCCCTGTGTGCACAGAGAGCTGCCAGCCTAGTTAGACAGACCTGAGCAAAGACATCTGCAAATTAACAAACCCCAGCCTCTGGGGCCATGTCATGCATTCGTCTTGCTGAATAAGGTAGAAGCAGAAAGTAATTTTGATTAGCATTCGTCCAAGCTATTTATCATAGGAAATCACACAACTGCGTTCGAGCCTGGGATTTTTACCCAGATATCCCTGCCTGATGTCTCAGCGGGGGGCAGACTTGTCAGGTGACAGAGTCCCCTTTGCTTGACTTCTGTGCCACGGTAGTCAATATATAAGGGGCCCGAAAGAAGATATTTTAAAATTACAAGCTCAAGAAAACAAACCAGAAGAAAGAGAATCCCACTTTTATTTTCCCTTCACACAAAAGGAGCAAGCAGTAAACTTCACCCCTCCAGCAGGGGACCAAGACACCAGCAGTCCTGACTGAGAAAGAAGCATCCTCTCGTGTAAGATATGAAAGAAATACTTGAAGGTTTACCGAGGGTGATGGAATCTTTATTAAGAATTACTTTTCAGAAAAAGAAACGGCTCTGGATTGAGATGAATATTCTAGAAGTGGCATTTATAGGAACTTATAAATCTGTGCATAAATGTCTTCCTATGTGCCCATGCATTTTTTTTTCAAACAATTCATTTTCTTTCCCTATTTGTGCCGCCACGAATACACCACTTCCCAGTTATCTCGGGCAATAATGTCCGCAGCTTTGTGAATTTTCTGGGATCTGTCAAGAGGATAGGAAATGCTCGAGAGTGTCATGTTGAAGCATGGAGGGCATTTTTCAAATAGGTAAAGTCAGACCAACAAATCACCGGCATCTTCTTCTCTGCTGGCCTTTGTTAGAAGAGAACACACGGGGTCTAGCACTTGTACTTGAAACACTTGGAGATATTGTCTTTTTTCCCTTATCAGAGCCTTCTCTTCCACCAGTGGGTGGGTCTGCAGTGCAGTGCGAGATAGTTGAGGCAGGGTTCGGCCCAGAACTGGAAGAAGTTGTCAGTCGCTTCACCCTCCAGAGAGCTGGGCTCTGGGAGGACAGACCCTTGATGCAGCTAATGAAGGCCAAAACACCTGCAGTTAAGCAAAGAAAAAAAAAAACGTATTTTTTATCATTTCAGCCATCTCGGTTGGCTGCCTAGAGAAGCTGTCTTTCCAGATTTCCAGAATAGCTGTGCAGACAGGGCTAACTCAGGCCTCCAAACCCTGCCATCTGGCTAAAACCTGGAAAATTCAGTCTGCAAGGGACATGATTTCCTAATACTGCCAAGGAACTCTTTTTCTATTTGAAAATATCTGAAATTTCTCACCACTTGCATTAGAGACATTCCATGTCCTTCGGATGAAAGCCCAGTTTTATTGCACATTGATGCTGATTGGCCCCATTACCAACAAACTTCTGAAGGACAAAGAAGCCTCCTTCATCCACAGGAAACCCAAATATCTTTATGGAAACAGCAATCTCGGTGTCTCTGGAGACATCAGGAAGCACACAGTCTGCTCTGTTTCGCCCCCTGATATTTGGTGTTGTCGAGACAGCATCCAGCAACTCGTGCAGGAAGAAGCAGCTTTAGAATTCATCCTGCACCCCTGTCAGTGGGAAGTGGGGCATCTATGTGCCTAGCCCAGTGCCAGCCCACAGCAGGCACTCAAAAATTGTGGAAAATTGGGGTTTGCACATAGACGGCAGCTTCCTGGGGACCGTGCTCCGGGTTTGATGTGCCCTGTTTGGTGGGAGTTGAGCAGCTGCTTCCTTGAGCCTGGGGATTTCTCGATGAAGGAAATCCTGTAAGTATTTACAACATTTAACAACTGCCTATATCCTGACAGTTTTGCTCAATCTTGCATCCCCAGTGCCTGAAGAACCTGACACGTAGTAGATGCTCAATAAAAATGGATTGAATGAAAGAATAATTGGCAGACTGACAGGCAGGAAGCAGGAGGGATGGAAGGAAGAATGAGAGGGAGGGTGGAAAAGAGGCTGGCCGGCTGGAGAGACAATATCCACCAGCTCCAACGCCATGTGAATTCTTCACCATTTCTACATCCCCGGATCTGTGAATCCTATGTAAATTGCTTCTCTCTTCTCCACGTACCTGCGGGTGAATCACGAATGAAATGTTATAAACACAGAGAGAAAATGAGAGAAATGGCTGGTTCTTCCATGGCTATCGGTTCATTCATTCATTCCACAAACAACCACGTGCCAGGCGCTGTGTTCATTGCTGGGGAGAAACATGTAGTACAAGGGGTGGGAGCTGGTGGATCTCGCTGACTCCACCTTCCCGTGGGGCCTTGACCAAACCACCTACCTGCTCTGAGCCTCAGTTTCCCCCTGTAAAGTGATTAGGTTGAGTGACCCCTAATGACCCTTCCAAGGATAATATATTTCACTGCCCCCAAACTGGATGATGACAATCATCATCATCATCATCATCGTTATCAATTGATCACTTAGTCTGTGCAAGACACAGTGGTGTTTCCCTATGTTATCTCATTTGATTCTCAACTACCCTGTGAGAGAGGCAAGATTATTATAAATAAGGGAAACTGAGGCAAGAGAGGTTAGCTGACTTGCCAGTGGTCAACAAGCTAAGAAATGACCGGATTGAGGTGTGAGCAAACATCCCCTGGCTCCCCTCTGCTACCTGACCTCACACTGCATGACGCCCTCTAATGATGCCGGAGGTGGCCAGCCTTGGGGCATGGCAGAAAAGGTGGAGGCACATTTAGTTCTCATGTTTAGAGCAGGTGATTATCTCTACTCCAGGTGAACACCTTCCCTCAGTCCTTGGGAGACCTCTTACCCGGAAGTATGACTACTTAGGAGGACGTCCAGATCACAGGTGAACAGTCAGCACACTCTCTCCTGACCAAGGTTCTCAGCTGCTGTGGACTTTATCCAGGCACTGGTTTCTTCCAAGAAGCAGCTTCCTGACCCATGCCTTTACTGGTTGCCTTTTACCTCTATCTGAGGTCATGAATTGCAGGATCGCAAGCCAGATATGGTCCCAAATAAATTTCATTTGGCCTCACAACTTCTAAAAATTGGAAGATTTTACATAAAATACCAAATACGGGACTTTGTTTGAAAAATCGGAAGGTCCAACTATAATCTCCCATGAGAACAATCAGCTGGAGCTGAGTAGGAACTGCCCCCTTGGATAGACACGCTCTCGCCATTGACCGCAGACCCCACCACTCCTTACTGTCTCAAAAGAATGCTTGTAGGCATTTGCATTTGGCAACCCTGGACTTCAGAACCAAATCCAGAGACTTGAACCTGGCATTCAAAACCTTTTGCAAACTGACCCCCAGTTTCTCTTTCCAACCAACCTAAATTCCCTGCTCTCTATCCTTCTAGAGTGGACCTTCCCTGCAGGCTCATGTTAATTATACATCATCCAAAGGGTGTGCCCTGTCTTCCCACACCCCTAGTTACATTTGATTCTGCATCTTTGTTTTTCCTACTTGCTTGTGGCTTTACCGCTCAGTTGGAATCTGCACAAAAGGAGTGGAAACGCTGGCTTTTTTGGATCTCTGCACAGAGGAGCTGCTGTTGTCTGTTTCCTTGCTGCTAATCACGGTGGGGCCCATAGACCAGCCACTCCGGCACTGCCTGGGAGCTTGTTAGAAAGGCATAATCTCGGGCCCCACCCCACACGGCTAACTCTGATTTTTATTTTAACAAGATCTCCCAGGTGAACAGTATCACTTTAGAGTTTGAGAGGCCATGGCCAAGTTGAGGAATTGCAAGTCAAAGCTAGGCTCAATGGCAGATCAGGGACTCACCCCTAAGCCCACCCCCGGTCCTTCCCCCGGGCATCTTCTCCCGTGACATGACAGATTCAGCCAGTGGCCACTCTCTGAAGAGGCCAGAGCGAAGGGCTCAGGGTCCCGGGATTGAAGGCCCGACTACCCTTCACATGATGAGTGCCACCCATGGGCCGCATCACAGCCCTGCTCAGCCGCAGTGGGAGGGGGTTGAGTTAGCCATGGTGGGAAACATTCTGACATCAAAGATGGTCTTGGGCTCCGAGAGGCACTCAGGGACCCTCTGGGGTGCTGGAGATGGTCCGACACAAAGGATGGTATGTGCTATAGAGAAGAGCAAGAGAGCTCAACAAGACATGGGTCCACCACCACTGAGTAGTGGGATCATAGCATTGCAACACTGCCTCTCCCAAGGGAGGCACAGTTCGATCCTGCCAATCAATCCGATAATGATTTATCAGAGAAAACGCTACACGCCAGCCACTGATTCTAGGTGTGAGACAACAGACAAAAACCCCTACTGCCATGAGGCTTATCGACAAGGGTAAGGAAACAGACGGGAAAAGAAGACAAAAGAGGATGGGAGGATAGGATGTTTGTGCACACGTGCCTGTGTGTTTTGAGGTGAGAGTTCCAATCATCTGAGCAATTAAATCTTAAAATGGGAGAGAGGAGAACTCAGTTCTGGGCTAAGCATTTTGCACAGATAAACTCATCCAATCCTCACAACAATCCTATGAGGTGGGGGGGGTACCACAGGATGGCCTCGAGGGTGGCCCCAGTGACCCCCGGTTCACTGCCCTGTGCAAATCCCTCCCCTGCAGTGGGAGCTGCACCTGGTTACTGGCTTTAGATAAAAAAAAAAATATGGCAAAAGGGAGGTGCCTGGGTGGCTCAGTTGGTTAAGCATCTGCCTTCGGCTCAGGTCATGATCCCAGGGTCCTGGAATCAAGTCCCGCATTGGGCTCCCTGCTCACCGGGGAGCCTGCTTCTCCCTCTCCCTGCCCCCTGTTCCTGCTCTCTCTCTCTCTTTCAAATAAATAAATAAAATCTTTATAAAAAAATATGACAAAAGGAATGGGATGTCACGTCAGAAACTAGGTAACAAAAATATTCTCTCCCACTCTCTCCCTCCCTCTCTTTGGCCTCACTCTGGGAGGAGCAAGCTGCGGGTTGTGAGTATCCTACAGATCCATGTGGCAAAAGCCTGATGTGCCTGGCCAACAGCCAGCGAGAACCTGAAGCCACCAGCAGCTTCGTGAGTGTGAGTGAATCTGGAGGCAGACTCTCCCCAGGGGAGCCCCAAGAAGACCACAGCCCAGCCCGCACCTTGATTACACTCTTGTGAGAGATTCAGAGTACGAGGCACCCAATAGCAATGCCCATATTCCTTTTTTTAAATTTAAATTCAATTAGCCAACTTAGCCAAACTAAGTACATCATTAGTTTTTGATATAATGTTCAATGATTCATTAGTTGAGTATAACACCCAGTGTTCTCTTCTTGACCCACAGAAACCGTGACATTCAAAAAGTTGATTTTTAAGCCACTAAGCTTTGGGTAATTTTTTACACAGAAGGCAATACATTGGGACACCTGAATGGCTCAGTCGGTTAAGCGTCTGCCTCGGGCTCAGGTCATGATCCCGGAGTCCTGGGATCGAGTCCCGCATTGGGCTCCCTGCTCAGTGGGGAGCCTGCTTCTCCCTCTCCCTCTGTCCCTTTGCCCCACTTGTGCTCTCTCTCTCTCGCAAATGAACAAATAAAATCTTTTTTTTTTAAGGCGATACATTATATAGGCAGGTACTATTATTACTTCCATTGCATAGATGATAAAACTGAAGCACAGAGAGATGAATTAACTTGCCCCAGGATATAGCGCAAGGAAGTGTCAAAGTCAGGATTTGAATCCAAGGAGTCTGGCTCCCAAGCCCATACGATTAAGCATCACCGGATGCTTCCACAAGCGATCGCATTTGATTAAAGTATCCATTTATACAACGGCTTCCCTGGCCGGACTGTGCCGTCCATGTCAAGTCTGTGTGCCTGGCACCTGGGCGGCACCCAGCACCCAGGAAGTGCTCAGCAAACATTGGCTGAGTGGAGCCGTGAGGTAGAAGTGAGCCATGCAGCCTGTCCAGGTGGTTGAGGCCTGGCACCAGAGAAGGGAAACACAGCAGAGGTGCGGAGAAAAGGTCCCCTAAGCCCCTATCAGCCCTAAGTCCCCTGCATGGAGATGGAACCCATTTTTATTTATTTATTTATTTATTTTTTGCAGAGACACAGCTCCAAGAAAAGCAT